TAATATTAACCAGCTTACTTCATTTTGTTTAAAACTTTCATCTTAGTGACCTGCCTGATCTAAAAATCAAAGCCTACGTGTGATGACAGTAACATTCCCATGACTACAGACCCCAGCTTTGTCTCCTTTGGGCAGGTCATGCTGACCGTTTCCTGCTGACTGTTCCAGAACTCCTTCACCATAAGTTCCATGTGGTTGTATGCTTTGTTAACTGAAATCAAATGTTATGCTTTGACATTTTCATATTTTGTCCTTATATTCTGTTAGTGACCTAACCAAGGTTACTCCATTGTGCAATGATTCTTCTTCCCTGTCTCTATGTAACTACCTTAAACTATATCTTAATGGCAGAACTCCAGGGGCTTTCTGGGCACTCGCTAGACCTAGGACATGAAATTAATCAAAGCTCCCTAACAATCGAAGTTCCCATTTTGGTTGCCAAGTTGTTAGTTAATAGTTGCTATGGTCACTAAGTTGCTACATAGCCAATATTTTTTTTACCTATATGCAAATTTTACCTATAAAAGCTTGCCACAAACTGCACCAATTTGTCAAAAGTTATTTTTTCTGGCGTTTGCATGCTCTTGATTCGCGTGTTGATAAAAATTAATTAAACTCAGCTTGCTGGCGTGACTTCTTCTTGCTTACTTGGTCATAACACAGGGTCACATTGAAGTTTGAGTTTAAGAGTACATTTGGTTGTAGAGTACAGAAGCATCATCACAAGCCCTATCAGACATCATCTTATGTGTAGGAAAAGGCAAGGACTAGGGTTATTTAACTTTTTTTTTTTTTAGTTGGAGTCTCACTCTGTTGCCCAAGCTGGAGTGCAGCGGCACAATCATGGCCACCCCAGCAACAACCTGCTGGACTCTGGCGATCCTTCCGCCTTAGCCCTCCAAGGAGCCGGAACTACAGGTGCACATTACCACACCCAGCTAGTTTTTGACTTATTGTAGAGACAAGGTCTCGCAAAGTTGCCGGGGCTGGTCTTGAACCTGTGGGCTCTGGCAATCCACTCACTTCAGGCTCCCAAAGTGCTGGGATGATAGGCTGAGCCACCGAGCCCAGCTGGGTTATTTAACTTCTAAGGAACATAGTAACTCAGGCGAGAGACATGGGGGGGGCCATGTTCTGTATCTGTTTTGTTTTCAAAGCATCCTTCCAGAGAGCTGTGTGTCATCACAGCGCTTCACAGGGGCTTTGTGAAATTATGCTCTTTTGCTAGTTTGCTGGGGCTGCCCTAAAATACCACATACTGGGCAGCTTTAATAACACACATTTATTGCCTCACAGTTTGGGAGGCTAAAAGTCCAAGGTCAAAGCGTCGGCAGGCTTGATTTCTTCTGAGGTTACTCTCCCTGGCTGGCAGATGGCCACCTTTTCTCTTGTGTCTTCACATGATCTCTCCATGATGTCACATCTCTGGTATATCTCTCGAGACACTGAAGATTTAAATTTTAGGACTCAGAAACGCATGACGGAGGCAAGGACGGCATAGTTCTTAAAGACAGGAGCCCTATACAGGTTTGAATCCTGGCTCTGCCCACGAATAACTGCGTGACTTTGGGCAAGTTACTTAACTGCTCTGTACCTTAATTTCTCCCTTGGTAAGATGAAAATAACGACAGTATTAACAGCAACACCTGCCTCATAGGGTTGCCATGAGGATTAAGTGAATTAACAGTTGTAAAACACTTAGAATGGTGTCTAGCACTTAGTACATCCTTCCCGTTGCTGTTGCTATACTTTTGTGGTTATAGAGAATTTCCTGGGGGCCTGCTGATGTCTGCAGTTCAACAAAGTCAAAAAGTATCCCCCAGGATTAGAAATGAGAATCCCAAAATGCTTGCTTTCAGGATCTCGGTTCCATTGTCTAATAGAATACACAAAATAGGCTGAGTAAAATGAGACCTTTGACAAAACTCCAACTCACTCTCCTGACATGGCCTGTGATTCTGATGTGACTAGACAAACAAACCTTTCGACATAGAGTCACCTTAGACTATTTGAGAACTTCCTAGGGCAGCCAAACCTGCAGAACAGCTGTCAGCGCGCCACCGAGGCCTAAACTCACTGATGTTATCAAACGCCTTGGTAAAGTCAACAGGTTAATTTTTCAAGGTGTTCCTGAATTTGTTCTGTGTCTGTTTTCCTACGTAGGTCACGCCCAGCAATGTACCTGTGGCTTCAAACCACCCATTCATTTCTTCTTTCAATTACTGAGTGCTTAGGCGGTGCCAGGCAGTGGGGACACGTAGGTGACAGGGACATAGTCCCTGCCTCAAGAAGCTCACTGTGGTCCAGGTGAAGAGCCCAGTGGGGTAAAGTGCCATGTTGGAGGTGTTTTCCTGGGGTTATAGGGCTGGCAGCATCACCTGACAGTAGGCCCAGCCAGAATTTGTTCAGAGATAAGGAGGAATCAAGTGGCCCAGGCATGCTGTTCAGTGTCCTAGAGTACACAGGAGACAATCCCACCACAGAGAAGTATTTAGCTCCAAACATCAACAATGCTGAGGTAGAGAGGAACTCTGGGGTCCTGATCTCTGAGTTTTTCTCTAGTTCTGAAAATTTATATGTTTTCGGAGATTCTTTGCTTCTTGTTTTTAAATATATATAAAGATGTGGGTATACTTCAGGGTTAGGTATACAAACGTGGATTATGCAGGTACCCTTGCCGATGAGGTATGCCCCTCCCTCCCCTAGCAGTTTCCCTCAACTACCAATCCCACCCCCAACCCCCGACAGTTTCCCACTACAGTCAATCCCTTTCTTACAGTATCATGATAATTGTTCAAGGTCCGCTTATGAGTGAGAACATGTGGTACTCTGTTCTTTGTTTCTGTGATAGATCGCGCAGTATGACCCTTTGCCTCTTTTTAAGGTGGCACAAATGTTTAATAGCAACTTCCTGCTTTTCTGAGTGGAAGTTCATCCAATCATGTAGGATGACCTCCCATAAAATGCCAGAATCCCGTTTATACCATTCCCGCCAGGATGCTGGCCACGTAATGGGAAGTTCATCACTTCAAATCTTGGCAAGAATCCCTGAGGCATCCATGGTCACCTTCCAGCTGTCTGTGGGGGTAAGGGGATAGGACTTCCCTGAATGAATAATAGAAATGGACATGTCATATGGAACTCTTGTTTTAGATAGGACTTCTGTATTTCTTCTCTCCTACTAGCTACTTTTGGAGGGTAACAGTCACTGGCTGGAGTTTCACGTGTTTTCCCAGCTTTCTTCCCTCTTAGACTGACATGCTCCAAGAAGTGAAGAGGTTAAATGCAAGTGGCAATCGGGAGTGTCAAAGAAAGATGTCTGCTAATCCTCAAATGGGATGTTCAAATCCTGAGAACTCCAAGTTGGCATTAGTGTTTTGTAACTTCCAGGCATCTGCATTTCTTTTGACATTTTTCGTCTGCTTCAGACTCTATGACTTTCTCTCTCTCTTTTTTTAAGTTGGAGTCTCACGCTGCTCACGACCACTGCAGTCTCAACCAGCTGGGCTCAGGCGATCCTGCCGCCTCTGCCTTCCAAGTAGCTGGAACTACAGGCACGTGCCACCATGCCTGGCTAATTTTTTGATTTGTTGTAGAGATGGGGTCTCACCAAGTTGCCCAGGCTGGTCTCAAACCCGTTGACTCAGACAATCCTTTCACCTCGGCCTCCCAAAGTGCTGGGATTATAGATGTGAGCCACCACGTCCGACCTCCCTATGGCTTTCAAATGGCAGAGGATGCTCTGTCTGAGCGCTACTCCCAGGAAACTTGACAGCACAGAAGCATCCGGGGACAGGGGTCTGACCTCAGAGGGCAAAGCTGGATGCAAAGGTCATGCCACTCCAGTCGGTGAAAGCAAAGTTGCTGCCGGGCATGACCCACCAGGATCCATAGGCCAACAGGACACCAGGGCCGAGGAGCCATAGGCATTCCTGACTTCTGGTTGGGAAGGCACAGAGACCCAGTTTTCTAGTCCTGACTCTACCATTTGCCTGTGTGTTCGTGCGCGTAATCTTGAAAGTCTCTAAGCCTCAGTTTCTTCATCTTTAAAATGGGAACAATAACAGCACCTACTTCATTGCTATTCTCTAGGGATTAAGTGAAATGATCTAGGCGAAGTGCCCGAGTCTCGCAGCAGTTGCTGGTGCTGGTGTCATGGTTGGGGCTGAAGCTCACATGTAGAGGAGCAAAATGGGGCTCAGTGTTATGATCCAGAAAGAAGCAGCAGCAGAAAGAACTTCTGCTTATATGTCCTCCTTGCTGGAATTCTACCCAGTACTTTTTATAAAGAGAGAGAGAGAGAGAGAGACAGCGAGAGCGAGAGAGAGAGGTAAGTGGTACCAGTACTAAGACCACAATAACTTGATAAAAGCCTCTACACTCCTCCTGATCTCTTAGGTCTCTCCCAAAACTCTACCTTCCTTTCATCTCCAAACCACATGAGTTATACAGGAAGACACCGACATGTAGAGATCAAAGGTTTTGCCACAAAAAAGCAGACACAGAACACTCAGAGCTTCCCAATCTCATAAGCACGTGAACACAGTGGTACACTGAAAGTGAAGCCTTTGAGGGAAAGTCACACGGAGTCCATCCCACATGAGCTTATTATAGCCTCCCACCTATCCGTGGTTTCTGAATACAAACGGTGGTCACGCTCAGAAATGGTCCAGTCTAGACCCACCCTGGCTGGAAAAAGTGGCTGTGGCTGCCTCCAGCCCCATCCTCTGCCCAACCTTTCAGGGCTGTGTGGGAGTGACATGTGGTAAAATATCAGCGGTGACAACGATGGTGTGAGTGGAACCCACCCCTTCTTGGTAGGGCATTCCAGCACAAGAGCCAAGCGGCGATAACTAGGATCAGGGAACTTTGAAGTCTTGAAGAGAAGTCTCCACTTCTAAGGTCAATTTATAACTAAGTCTATTTAAATAGGTGGCCAAAACTTGGGATGACACAAATTCTGAATTTCTTAGGTACCCTTTAGTTCTTTGGCTACTTACCACTGTCGTTTCCCTCACAGACACAGGATGTCCTGTATGGCCGTCACATCTGTGGAAAGAATTTAGAATGATTCCTTTGGAGAAGAGCCTTACTTTTACCAGGAGGAAAACTGACAGCATATTGGCCATTACATTTCTTTATCTTGAGAAGATATTTTCTAGAAAGATATTTTTTGATCAGTGCATGGTTGAAAAACATTTCAGAAACCTGTTCCTATGACTGTTTTGACTGGATGTTTGACATCTTTATCACTCAGGTAGCTGAGACAAACATTACATCACAGTGGATCTGTATTTGAGCATAACACGACAGCGTGATAAAATACTGCAGTTAAGTTTGTTGAGTGTTTATTTGTGTCAGGCACTGTACTCACGATCTCTGGGCATGTGAATTCATTTCCATATATCATTATGTGTCAATTCATTTAGATACATCACTTTCATGAGGTGCATATTATGGCTACGCCCATTTTACAGATGAGAAGATGAGTGACAGATATGTGAGAATACACTGCCCAAGGTGCAGTTAGGGGCCAAGCTAGGATCAGGCACAGGCTGTCAGAAATCCTTCTTTCCAAGTATGACACACCGGCTCTTCTTCCAAGTGGGAAACAGATTTTCTGTTTCTGTGCATTTTCATTTTAAACAGCAATGAGGTCAGGACCCGACTTAATAATCCATAAAATAATTTTTTAAAAAAACAAACAAAAAAAATTGCTTTAGGATGTTTATTTTTATAAAGATGCTTGACTTACTAGGAAATCATTTTGGCAGCGGACAAGTATGCTGCCCTCAAATCCAGTGAAAAGGTGAAAAATTTACAAGACCCAGACCCAAAATTGAGATACATTTTGATCTTTTCAATCTATAATCTTATGCCAAGAGTGCTCTGCCTGAACTCTGGTTCAAGATTTAATAGACCCTAGTGACTCAGAGCTCTGCATGAAACCATGAAAGAACAGCAACGGGGATCAAGAGTTAAAGGAATTGAGACTCCAAGTCAGACAGGTCAAAGGTGGCGAGAGGCAGGTGTTCTTCATGCAAACTCCCAGCTGCTTCATGGTTCACGAAAGTGGAGCATAAAACCTGGGAGGCTAAATAATTTTACATTCTTAAGATAGCCGTATGTGTTTATAAGTTTAACTCAGATTTTAAACAGAAACTGAAATTAATACCATGAATTTTTAAGTGCAACTCTCATAATAATATCTAGAAGTTAAATACTGCTTTTATTTTATTTTATTATTTACTTTTTTTTTTTTCCTGAGTCAGGATCTCACCCTGTTGCCCAGGTTGGAGTGCAGTGGCATGCTCACAGCCATGGCAGCCTCAACCTGCTGGGCTCAAGTGACCCTTCCGCCTCAGCATTTCAAGTAGCTGGAACTATAGGCACGTGCCACCACAGCCAGCTAATTTACTTTATTTTTTTTTATTTATTGTAGAGACAAGGTCTCATCATGCTGTCCAGGCTGGTCTCAAACACCTAGGCTCAGGCAATCCTCTCACCTCAGCCTCCCAAAGGGCTAGAATTACAGGCAAAAGCCTTCACGCCAGGTTAAATACTGCTTTTATTTTTATTCTTCCTTCCCATCCACACTTATTGAGCCTGCATTTCTCCTACTCCCTATGTACTATTTTGAGCCTTTTGGAGGAATTGAATATGACTGAGATAGAGACCCTATTCTCTGAGAGCTTTTAACAAAAGAAAAGATTAGATGCGTAAAATGCCAAAGACAAGCCGAGACTTGCTAAGGACAAGAAAGAGCTATAAGTAGGATGTGTGGGGGATGCAGAGGGACCAGGGGACGAACAGGCAAGGCGACAGGGAGAGATGGTGGTGAACTGTATGAGAAGCTAAAATCTAGCATGAGCAAAGGCTTGGAGATGGAAGTATGTGAAGGAGGCTGGCAACTGGCCAGTAACACAGTATGCCTGAGCCAAGACCACATGCCAGATGGTGAAGATTCTTTCCAGAACCCTGCTGGGCTGCAGGTACACCCCCACAGCCCAACACTGTCACCAGTTTACCAGGTGCCCCCCATCTGACATGCAGTGAGGGCAGCAGGGAGAGGTTTCTGGCAACGGCAGGTGAGTGGAGGGTGAGGTTAACAGGCCCAAGGATACCTGGACGGGGTCCCACCGAGCATGCGGGCATGCCGGGCACTGGAGATGCATGCTCGCCTGAGGTGCATGGCCATGTGTGCCCCTGCAGGCCTAGATGGGAGGCCACAGGACTCAGTAGTGCTTTGGAGGCCTGGCGTGTCTGCATCTGCATCCAGGCCCTCCCACCAGTTATGTTTCTGATGGGAATCGCTTCCATTCGCAGAATGAATAAAAGCAACAGGGGTATCATGAAAGCCGTGCTGGTAAAAGCCCTCTGGACTCGGGCCTTTCAAGGGATGCAAAGACCCCTCATCTGCGTTTGTTCACAAGCCCTACTAATGCCACATCTTGGAGAGCTCTCACAGGCACCCCACGTCTCCAGCTACAATCATTCGGCCTGATAGTAAACTTTCACAACCTCTCTTCCTCCCCATCCTTCACACCATCAACAGAAAGATGTGTCAGAAATGCAAATCTTGCCGGGCTCGGTGGCTCAGCCTGCAATCCCGTGCCTTTGGGAGGCTGAGGTGAGTGGATTGCCTGAGCCCGCCCCTGGGTTCGAGACCCACCTGGGTAGCGAAACCTCATCTCTACAATAAATAATAAAAAAAAAAAAATCAGCCGGGCATGGTAGCGTGTGTCTGTAATTCCGGCTACCCGGAAGGCTGAGGCGGAAGGATCGCCGGAGCCCAGCAGGTCGAGGCTGCGGTGGCTGGGAGCGGCCACTGCACTCCAGTCTGGGCGACAGAGTGAGACTCCAGCTCAAAAAAAAAAAAAAGAAACGCAAATCTGATCTCATCATCCCCTGCCTAAGAATCTTACGAGGTGTTATTCAACACCTTAACAATGACACAAGGCTTTTCTTGTGTCTGGTGACTCTCTCCCTCCACCCAGATAGCCTGTCACCCTTCAAGCCTCATCTACCTGTGCTCCAATTCCCCATAGGCACCTGGATTCTACACTTCACTCCAAATTAAGTCTAATGAATTACAATTAAATCATACTAATTAATAGGAATTAATTCCAACTCCATTAAATATTCTTTTTTGTTTCCGTACCTTTGTGGATACCATTCAGAAATTCTTATTTAACAGAGTAAGATGGCATTCAAGAATATTCTTTTCTAACCAGAACCCTGGGTGATTCCCCCCAGGTGTTGGTGGAGACACTTGATCCACTGAGCTCTACCTGGATGGCCACAGGTCATGCAGACCTCACCTGTCCACCAGGGACTCTGCATCTTCCTTCCCATCCACCATCCTACCCAATCAATCAACAGATTCTGTTGATGCTAACTCAGAAATCCCTCTTGAAACCATCCACATTTCTACGTCTCTCTGCTTTTACCCTGATCAAGACCTCCATCATCATTGCTTTTTATTATTGCAACAGACCCTTGACTGTCCTTCTGTCTCCAGGATCTGACCCAATTCAATCCATTCTCCATACCTTAGCCAGAGTGGTCAGTACAATTCATGCCACTTCTCTGGGGAATTCTTTTGCTCTCAGGAGAAAGTTGAAATTCTTTTTCTTTTCTTGGAGTCAGGGTCTCACTCTGACACCCAGGCTGGAGTGCAGCAGCACGATCATGGTTCACTGCAGTCTCAACCTCCTGGGTTCAGGTGATCCTTCCGCCTCAGCCTCCTGAGTAGCTGGGACTACAGGTGTACACCACCACGCCTGGCTAATTTTTTTTGTTTTGTAGAGACGAGATCTCGCTATGTTGCCTGGGCTGGTCTCAAACTCCTGGGCTCAAGTGATCCCACCTCAGCCTCTGAAAGTGCTGGAATTGCAGGTGTGAGCCACCAGGCTTGGCCAAATTGAAATACTTTTCTGGGCCGGGCTCAGTGGCTCAGCCTGTAATCCCAGCACTTTGGGAGGCCGAGGAAAGTGGATTGCCTCAGTCTGTGTGTTTGAGACCATCCTGGACAACTTGGCAAGACCTTATCTCTACAAGAAACCAAAAATTAGCCGGGTGTGGTAGAATGTGCCTGTAGTTCCAGCTACTTGGAAGGCCGAGGCGGAAGGATTGCTGGAGCCCAGCAGGTTGACGGTAGGGTGGCCATGAATGTGCCACTACACTCCAGCCTGGACGATGGAGTGAGACTCCAACTCAAAAAAAAAAAAAAAAAGAAATTCTTTTCTGCATTCCTAAGGCCCTGGATAACCGGGTCCTGGCACACCTTCCAGCTGCATCACTCCCCTTCCTATGCCTGAATCTGACAGGGAATCTGATAGACTTCTGCACCTAGGCAGATATTGTCCCTTTGCCCCAAACACTTTTCGACCACCTCCTAGCCTGGATGACGGTCTCATCCTTGAGGAATCACTACAAATGCCCTTTTCTTCAGGAGACCCACCCTGACCTAAGATATACACCCCATACACGCCCCCACAGTGCAGGGCTCTTCCCCACCTCAGCATTCTTTGTCTGTTTCTCTATGTCCTTTCTGTTGTCACACTAAAGTCTGAGAAGGTGAGGCCAGTGCTGCATATAGTATTCTTCAAGCAGTTTTTGTTGAATAAATGAATGAATGCATTCATTCTTTCCCTCACTCCATCTGCTCTTCCCTTCTGCTTATGTTCTTCATGATCATCTAGTTTTGCAAGTGGAGTGGAAAGCTCGTCTCTCTTCCTCCTCCACTGTCCTCACCGGCCACATCCAATGATGAGGTTCTCATGATTCCACATTCTGAATCTTGCACAAATCTGCCCATGCACAGCCTCTGTCATGGCCTCTACGTCAGCTTAGGCCACCACTGTCCCCACAGTCTCTCACCTGGTCTCTCTGACTCTGATTTTGCCTCCCTGAATCTATTCTTTGTGCTACAGCCAGAGGGCAGCTTCTTTGCATTGACGTGATGGGCACTTCCTCGCGGTGGTCTGTCGTGCGTGCCGGAGGATATTCGCAGCAGCCCGGGCCTCCTTCCACTCGATGCCAACTGC